AGTTAGTGAGACGCTAAAGAGAATGAATTTAACATTTTAAGTAGTGAATTTATTTTTTAAAAAAAAGATTAATCACAAAGTAGCATCAGGTACTAGAATTAACTGCTTTTTAATGCTAGACTAAGTCTTGCATGAAGAATTTATAAAATCTAAACTAGATTTTAATATTAAATGTTAAAATTTTGCGCAATGAACTATTAGCATGTTGTTAGTCTTCATGATAGCTGTGGAATAATTTTCTTGCTATTTTTGGTCAACTTGACTCATCAACTTTCTCTTCATACTAGTTGAATGGTACAAAGAAAACTTTCACAACTGGAAAAATGCGGAGACAGCTTTGGAGCCCTTTCCTGTGACAGAGCCATTTGCACAGCTCAGTGGTCCATAGGGTGGTGGAGAACCCGAAGGAGTTTGTCCTACCTCAAACAGTCTTTTCTTCAAAGCCTGCAATCAAGTGGCCACACTGAACTCTTAATGTATTCAAGCTGCAGGAACCATGGTGAATACAGAACTACAGCGTGGCACAACTTTGGAAGAGTGTCAGCACTTTATAAGTTGAACCTGTTAATTTCAGCTTCTGGTGCAATACTATATTCTCACTAGGTATTGATTTTAAAGAACTGTACAGGGTGAAGAATATTTAAATTTAGTGTAACTGAAGTCAAATCTGCCTTATTAATTAAGAATCATGAATTGCGATTGCAACTTTTGGGACTTTCAATTAAATTTGTTTTAGTTCTGGAATCATTCATCTGCATTAGTTTGTTTTTAGAGTGTAATGTATTACTTTTGTCACTTTAAAGAGTTGTGTTTTATTTTTAATCAAGGGAAAAAATGCTGTATTTTCTAGAGACTGTAAATCAGTTGGTAAAAACTAGATGTGGCACCTGTCTGGCTCAGTCCTTTCCTCTGTTGGTGCAGTATTACCTTCTGTAGATGACTGCTTAAACTGTAATCTAGAACTTTAAATGCCGTTTTTTAAGGGGGGGGGGGGGGGGGGTTGGGGGAAGGTGTCAAGAAGCAGCAGGTGTCCTGGCTGAGATTCCCAGAAGCATTTCCTTAAACTTTGCTCTGTTTTAGATGTCATCTTTTCACTGTATTACTGTCTTTTACATGTTAATTTCATTTTCTTAACTGTAATTGTAACAAACTTGAAATACTGTAGCACAGTTAACATTCCAATGAAGTTATTTCCTGTGATATGAAGGCTGTTTACGGAGGAAAAATTTAAACACTTCTTTTCCTGTGAATTGTGGGTTGGCAGACCTTATTTAATGCAGTGTTTCACAATTTTTTTTGTGACAAACATTTTAAAGATGAAACAATATTTGAGTTTTAATGTAAAGTTTGGGAGGAAACTTCAATTCTAGAAATATGTCAATGAATCTTTTTCAAAGTTGATTTAGTAATAAAAGTTACGGTGTAACTGGTTTCTCTTAAGTAAACATGCTGAAAAAGTAGAAGGTTTGGGTTTTTTTTTTTGTCTTGCATTTCTTATTTTTTTTCAGGACACAGGAATAACTGTCTTCACTGCTTTGGCTTTGAGGTGGCAGGTGTAGAAGGGTAAACTCTCGGTTTTATCACTTTAGCATCTGTACTTGACACAGTCCCAAACCCTTCTGTTGCCCCTGGGTAGAGCTGCAGGAGCTTGGGACTAGGATGCTATGGTGTACTCGGAAATTGCTGCAACTTCTGAAGTCTCTCAGAAATTGGGATTAACTCTCAGAACACCAGTATGTGCAGAAGTCCTTTTCTCATTGCCCTAAGTGCAGGAGGGATGGAGCTTGGGGCATTTGCCTCAGCTTTGCCCCTGCTAGAGTTGTGGTAGTAACTGAACATGAAAATTCCACTGACCCTGATAGCCTACAGGTACTGCTGCCTTTGCACTCACAATGCTCCCAACTTCATCATGCCTCGTGTGTGTTGTATTGTGCTGTTGATAAAATGCCACTCTTCGTGGTAAGAGTCACCTTAAAAGAAGGCTGAACAATGTCTAGGCTTACCTTAGCACCAAGTATGTGTTCTAAAGTCTAGGAACCTGTTACTGAAGGTGAGTATTCTGTGACAAAAGTGGGTAATAATAGTATCCTATTGCGAACTTGAATTTTGGGGGTTTCTCATACTTGGTTTGTTACTCAAAACCTCCATTTGGGAAAGACAGAAGTTACAGGACCTAGTATGTACTAGTCTATTAGAATACTTGTCTAACCATATACTTAAGCTTCTACTGATGAATCACTTAAATTTCATTGTCAAACACACATTGTTGGTCACATTCAAATATTTTCTTAATTTTTATATTTTCTTGAGATACAGATTCCTTACAATATGCAGAGAGTTACTTAGCCATCTTACTGTTTTTTGTTTTGCAAAATTCAGTAACAGGAACAGCTGAAGTACTGCAAAGATCTTTTAGATCTTTTAGATTTGTGCTTACTGTGGCAGCTGCTCTAGGTGAGCTGCATGGAAGTATGTATCGTTCCCATCTGCTTATCCTGGAATACTGCTTATATGTGGTGTCTTTAATTTTAGAAATAGAGAATACAGATTATTAAATTATTATATTAAACCTTAAAATATGTGCAGTGTCTTTGGAACATTAAAAATCAATTAACTTGTGATAGTGTTATCAGATCAGAAATACACAGAAGGAGGCAGTAGTGTTTGACTGGTTTATTGAATAGATGTTTTGGAAGTTGTTTTGAAAGTTGTTTTGAATGTTTAGATGCTCATGGATGCAAGCTTTGACATGTGACTATCCAAACAAGTGATGTTATTGGGAGTGGATTTTTCAAAAGTATCTATAAATTTTTAGTGGAAACTGTTCTAGTTTATTTAAATGTTTTTTAAGATTTAATTCTTCCATGTGTGAAATTTTTGGCCTCGTGTTCCTACTTTATTTTTATATATATATATACACACACACATATAAAAATAAATATACACATAACAATTTTAAAAATATGTAAGATGGTGAAGTGGGCAACTGAGGCAGGGCCATCTGCAGCCCACCTGCCCTGCGAGTCGTGGCCAGTGGGGCCTTTATGTGTGGGTATATCGGTTCCAGTTTGTGTGATGGAGACAATTCTTGGCTTCTCCAAGGCTTTTCTGGTGTGACCTTGGCACTTGCTTATGTTGATATGCTGTTTGGCATTAAGGGTTCCCAGCTGTGGTTGAGGCTGGTTTACGTTGTCATAATATGATAGCCTAGAAAATAGCTTTTCTTTGTCCACCCTCCTGTCCTTTACTAGATACAGGAGGAAGATTGTGGGTAAAAAACTGGTGGATTTTTTTTTAATCATTATTTGATAGTTTTGGGGCGGGTTTTTTTGAATTGTGGGTTTTTTGGTTTAGTGTGTGTTTTTTTGTTTTTTGTTTTTTTTTTTTGTTTTATTTTCTCCAGTGCCTATTCTGTAGGAGTACAAAATAGCACAAATTTGGTTTCCCATTAGGAGAAAGCTGTGAATATCACTTTGAATGCTCCATTGTGCTATAACTGTGTTCTTATGCTCTTTAAATAGTCATGAAGTGCTAATATATCTCTGCTTTTCAATAAGAGGAACTTTTAATACAAAAACCCCCCACATTTTGTTGAGGGGAAAAAGTGGCTTTTTTATTGAATGTACTATACCTGAGACTTGTTTTTGTTTGAATCTCTTGGTTTTGATTTTTTTTTTCACATTACCTCTAGTTTTTATTTCCATTGCCATTTCCATTTCATCTGGCAAAACTAAGATTTCTAAAAATAATAAAAATTAGAATAATTTGTTGGTCCGTAGTAGCTCTGATTTTTGTGGTAGTGTATGAAAACTCTAAAGTGAATAATGTTTTGATTTCTACACGTCATCAAACATTTGGAGTTTATCTGCACCAAAGATCACAAGACCATAGTAGCTGCATCAGCAGGAGACATGCTCGTTAAGTGATTAAATTCATCATTTCTCAGCAAAACAATCATTGCTGATGGCAATGGCTAGTCATGAGAATGAGATTTTTGTATCAGTATGTTGTTAGCACACCCCTTTAGTACAGTGGTGTGGGTTTGGGTTTTTTTAACCTCTCCACAACTAAAACTTTTTATTTTCAGTTGCTTAACTACTCGCCCAGTCCTTGGCATTCTTACTCCTGAAAATATGTCATTGACTTCTGAAAATATGTCAGTTCCTGACAAACAGTGGTTACTCATAAAAACTTTCCGAAAGTGGGACAACTTGAGGGAAAATATACTCTAAAGTAAAAGGAAATATGGGGGTGTATGCCACCAAATATTCACAGAGCTAGTTTGGGAAAAGGCTACTCCTTCCATGCTTGAAGGAGGAGTGATTTGTTAAACTCCTTTATTACTGTGGAAGAGAAGAGAGGTTTGTCTGCCTTTTTTTGACTAACGGGA